AATTTCAAAGATGGTACAGAAATTTCAAAGATGGTACAGAAATTTCAAAGATATACAGAAATATCAATATATAAAATATAAATTACATTTCAGTAAAAAGAAAACTTTGGAAATACAACAAATGCATTCTTTTGAAAGGGCAGAAAGAAACACTAAGCTTATTACATAAAAAAAATCAATGATAATTTGATTTTGTGTTTGGTTGTTATAAGCCAGCTAGGACATTGTAAAAACAACATGTGTTGGTATTATTTCTACATTTGTCAATGTTCCAAAGGCTGAGCAATAAAAACAAATGCATATATTTACTAACAGTAGCAAAATAATGACAGTAACTTCATTGATTTGTGTAAGCTATCCATGCAAAGCAATAAGCTTATCTATTTTTGAACATTTTTACCATCATGGATACAATAAAAGTTAAACCTTTTCTGGGTGAATCTTTAGATTTAGTTTGGACAAAATATAAATTGCCAATTGGACAATTTGGACGCAGACAGTTCTACTTTTAAAAAGAAACTTATCTATGGTATGGATCAATCAAGATCAATCAATGGACAATAAACAATGGCGTGAAATTCAATATCTGAATAATCCATGTAAATAAAGACTTGATTAATGAGGTTTCAATTACAGACATACTACCATACTTACATAATTGAAATATTGAACAGAACCTGAAACAAACATCAAATATGTTTCAGGTTCTGTTTTAATATTTCTACATCTCTCTATTATTGAATACTATTTAACCTTGAAAATATTTTAATTGTACTTTTGTATATGATTTGTTCCGTGCAATAGGTCTACTGAATAGGCTATTTACTAAACATCTTAAATAGCCCAATTCTACAATCTATCATGAAACAAAACCAAACACTTGTTCTTGTTTTTTCATTTGCCTGATACATCTAAATTCACATTTGGATTTCACATTTTAAACTGGGTTGATTGCACAAAATAAGCTCTTTCTAATCAGAAATATTAAAGTGAAATTGACTTTTAATTTCTTCCTAGAAAAGTTAGTACTTTCAAAAAGATCATTTGTAGTCAACATGTGCCGATCTCATAACTTAAACAAAGTACTAACCTTTCAACCTCTATTTATTTTAAATGGGGTGTGAATTCACAAGAGTGTTCTAATTGTATAGTAACTAGTTTTGGTTTTTGGGCCTTACATTGTCTCACTAACAGCTTCATTAAATGAATCTACCAATGCATACAATTTTGTCAACTTCCTTAAACCTAGTGTGAAATGGATTCATCCACATTTCTTAAAATGTACTTACAATAAAAATCTTAAAATCACATCGTTAGACAAGCCTTAAATGGTTTTAAAATACATATATGAACATATAACTGAAATCTTTGGAAAATGAGAAAAGCAATGCACATTCAAACACAATAGTTTTTGTAACAACTGGCATCTACAGTTTTCTTTATTACATCAAGGTCATGCGAACTGTTATTCTAATTCTAAACTGTTATATGATTGATTCCAAGCTGGTCTTTGGATAAGGCTTTCTTTGGAATAAACAAACACTAGGATAGCCTACATCACATTCACAGTTTCAGGAGCAAACATTTCAAGGCCAAGACAAGCATCAAGCATTTCATAACAAAATGATTATCAAAATAATCTGATGACATGTATAATGACAGACAAACTAAGAGGAATTCTGATTAGATCTAATATCAAAATAAATCACTCGCCACCTCGGGCTATATTATGTGCGATATCCATATTGAAAATGTTGACATTTTAGCCAACATGTCATGACATAAATGATTTAGATATGATCTGTCAGAGAACTCCATTCCATTTGGCAAACAAACGTAAGCCGTCAAAGAATTAAAATGAAAATTTCAAACCTTCATGACAAGTGACACAGTAGTCGATGTAATCCTCTTTGATTTAAAAAAAGTTTGGACTTGAACTGCATAAATTTCCACACAGACCTCATTAAAATTCACCCATTTGCAGAAGGCCATTTCCTGTTTACATTTTTTATGGAAGGATGTCGCTTACAGCATTTACAAATAGATACATTATCTTTGACCATTCTAATTCCCAAAATTCCAGGCGATAAAGAACTATAGACTATTCAAATTGATGGATTTTGAAGAAATACTGTGGCGAAAAAGATTTGGACCATCTTTTCGGTTTCAAGTGAACCCATACCGAGACAAAATATGTTTAAGCGGCCATTTAAAATAATTTATACCGACAGGTGCTCTATGGGAGGCAACTCTATTTAATACCTTTAGCTACAGACGACAAAAGATTGGTTCACTGGACATGTGTAATGGACTTTTATTATCATGATTATCATACTATTATCTATTTCGTTAATAACTTTATTGAAATAAGGAATTTTCGATTGGACAGATTTTGTTTGTCACTTTTGTGGACATGAAATGTTTAAAAGAAAAGTAGGCAGGGAAATCTTCAGGTAAACATCCATAGCATTTCTGTATTGTGGTCTATCAGCTAAGAAATAGCCTCCCTTTGCAAATAACTCTTCTCTGAAAGTCGAAAAAATTGACAGCTAAAATTTGGAGTAATGGAAACAGAAATGGAAGAATTTGTACAAAATTTGTTGCAAATTTCAGATTTAAGGTTATAATTTAATTGACAATTTATTAGCCTTTATGTTTGTGTAAGCTTGTAAACAAACAATAGCAAATAAGATAGATTAGATATCCTTATTGACACCACTACTGTTTCACATATGGTGGGAAAATGGCCATTTGATTTAGATTGGAAGGTTGTAGGGTTTCTGTCTACAAACACTCAACATAGGATGATAGCATGTATTGACCTCATTAGGTTGAAGAAAGCAATATGAGATTCGATGATGTAGGAAACATTTTTAGCGTAAACATTACAATAGACTCATTTTGCTTTTATTTTGCTAAACAGTGTTGTTTGCCAATACTGAAAGACTAGCAGCAATTCAACACTTTGAAAATTAATTTAAGATGGTAGAAAGCATTGGAATTGTCTGAAATTTACAGTGAATATTCAAGACGCATATAAATAGCTCTCTGCCAAGTTTCACATCAATCGCACAATGAGAAGGGAAGGGGGTGAAACTGCAACAATACTAGAAATTTTTCTTAGGCCATACCAAAATAATTTTCTGTTCTTCGGGATTTCTTGAAAAAAAAAAGGTACGAGCGAACGTAATTTTTTTTTTAATTTTAAAAAAAAAAAATGTCTAAAAGTTAGTAATCATAGATTTGGTTGGTGCAATATAATATTTTTAATTTTTTAAAAAAAAAAAGTCCCTTCGTACCATTAAAGTTTTCCAGCATGGATGATTTTGAATGTATTCAGATAAAATAACAATTAATAGTATTTATTTGTAATCTTTTGCACAGATTAACTGGTCTTTTGACCAGCCATCATCAATTGTTTTGCACCAATCTAGCACATCACAAAATAGTTTTTGAGGTCCAGTTAAGGTCTTGTCAAAGACTGGTGGTGTAGGTTTTTCAGAAAACATTAATGTCTTTCTTGATGCCATCATAAAATCGAACACATTTTTATCACTTTTGGAAGTATTACAAACAGGTTCTTCAGACGAAGAATGAGAAGGCGAGTTAATTAAAAAGTCCACAAACTTGGATTTCAGTTCATCACACAGAGAAATTTTCAACGAAAGTGTAACTTAGACACCGCCTGATTTTTTCATATTGTCCTTGATGTACACTTTTTCTGGGATCTGTGATATGCACAATTGAATTCCTGCAGATGCCAGATCATAAACATCTTTAAAAGTGTTTTCAGGCTCAACATCAAACGCCATGTATGGCAAAAAAAAAAGGTTCTGGTGTGACCTAATTTTGATTACTAAAATCATTTTGGTAAAAAAGAAAAATACAAATATTAATTCTAGCACTGCATCGGCCATACCTATTTCTGATAATTATCAACTTCCGGAATTTCGATGCGTTCGGTCGTCGAGAAAATGTTCTTGCTTCAGCGAAGGGCCTAAACTACTGTTCGAACTCACTCTTTTCAAACGGAAATAGAGGGTGCAATTTGTTACTCCTGCTACTAAATTTTAGGCTTAGAGAAATAAAAATGAAACTAAAAATGAGAGCTAAACGATCATGTTATCTGATCAATTTAGAGGTACGGACATACGGGCAATATAATTTTTTTTTTAAAATTGAAAATTTTTCAAAATTTTACATACGGTAGCTCTTTTGATACATACGGAATATTAGTTTTTGATTTTAAAAATAAAATTTCTATAACGGAAAATCGGGTACGGAATTCCCGACGAACAGAATATTATTTTGGTATGGCCTTAGGGCTAGTGTTTGATAGGAGGTTTAATCAATTAACAGCAATGTGTCTGTAACACCAAACTTGACTGAAGAGTTAGGTTGCTCACATAAGTACTAGTAGGCCTACATAACTATACTTAAAAAATTTCGCTAAATGCAATGAAAATAAGGGTGATTTAAAATGTTGTACAATCAGTGAGCTTACGCCTTAAGGCAATTTTTATGAAACTTTGTGGGGCATGTCCATTTTATCAACAATTTGACTGAAAAACTGACACCATTTGAGTTTATTACATAGTTTATTACATATTGTAGCAGGTTAACGAAAAATTTCTATATTTGTAATAATTATTCATGATCTCACATACATATACATAGTTCATTAATTATGATTTGTTTTGCTAATATGAACTCATGCTTAAAATTCCTGAGTATCATATGATTATGGGCAACTCATTTTGTTGTTTGATTGGTTGAAATTAATTGCCCCATATGAAGTTATTTGGATAATGCGAACCACAGGCAACAGATATTGAACAAGGGCATGGCCACTACAATGTCCTAAAGGTGAATTATAATGTATCAGAATTTGAGTCATTAGCTTATTCATTCTTCAGTATATTCTTGAAGCAAATAATTTGATAGTTGAATTTGATGTTAATGTCTTTATTTTCAAATTTTGTAGAGTCCTGACAAAGAAGATGGTGAGAAAAAAATATAAAGAACATCTGGGCACCAAAGAATTAAATCCTGATATTAAAGATAAACTAAAGCAAGTCATTGATAAATATCTTGAAGAACTTGCTCAATCTCAGGTGAGTTTTTAACACCTGACTTTTTCTGAGTTGAAGCAGCAGAGTTCGAAGCTGTTTTGGTAGCCAACACTGAGAAGGTGTGTTAAACATTGAAAAAAAGTCTGGCCTTAGTCTGTTTTTTTTTTTTAACAAGTAAGCTTACAGATGGAAACAGTCTGTTTTCTGAAGAGGTAGTTCATGCCATTTTGTAAGAGTATTATATAAATGCCGAAAGCTATAACTTATAGTTTTCTAAAATTCTGACTTAATGTGTTAAAAAAAAAATAGACACGAAGCATTAGTCCACACCTTTTGATGTCAAAACCTTCTTCTGTTCCCAATAGTCTTTCAGATATTGTACTTAGACGTGATGTTTAAGTCTCCTTTCCAGTTCAAATTGAAACAAGTTGCATCCTTTGTGCTTTCAGGTTGAGATTACAGTTTTAACAGATATCAAAACAGAAGATGGCAACAAAGAAAATAATTCTATCAAAGATATCAATGTGAACTGTCAAAATATCGTTGATTCGAAATCTACCACTAACATAACAATCAAATCAGAACCCACTGATGTGAAGTTCAGTGACTCAAGGGCAATCATGTCCCCACCAAAGAAACGTATTCCCAGAACTGTAGATAAAAAAGAAGCGCCAAAACGAAATATGAAATTTGAGGATGTTATGTCAGCAGTTCAAGATTTCGATGCCATGTCTGGTTTGGATGAACCATCTGATGCTAGTTCAGACTTTGATATGCTGCAAAAATTATCTGGGAAATCAAATGAAGAGGTTTCGGAGTCTGCTTATGAAGCGGAATCAGAAACTGATCAGGACAAAACATTGACATCTAAACCTAAATACTTCACACCCAGACGGACCCATTTCGAATACAAGCTTTCTGACAGTTTAAATGACAGTCTAGGGGAAATAACTCCAGTTAAACGTGGTATTATAAGTGATAATGAATTGGAGGACAGTCCAGTTTTGGCAAAAAAATCCGCTAAACGTAAAAATCTGATGTCAGAATCAGGCAGTGAAAGTGATAATAATGCTTTAATGATAGATCTTCCAACAATAAGCTCAAAACATGGACATAATTCAAACACTACATCAGTCAATAGTGCTCAGAAAAGTGTCGCAAAAACTGATAGTTCTCAAAATGACGAGCATGATGTTTCTTCTTTATCTGATAATGAACCGCTCTCCAAGCGATTAAAGGGGGACGACTCTATAACTGAATCCGATGATACATTCCTTCCAGGGCCAAAAATTGGGAAGAAAAAGGGCAAATCACCAGCTAAAAAACTTCTTTTAAAAATAAAACGTGTTCATAATAATTCATCAGATGACAATGACTATAATTATGAAATTTCGGAATCCAATGACGAAGAAAGGACCCGTAAAAATCAGAAATCAACTGTGCCTAGTACTGACAGTGACGTCATGCTTGTGTCACATGAAGCTGTCGTGCATCAACTGTTGTCAAATACAGACACAGATAGCAATGTTAGTGGTCCGGTAAAAAGACAGCGCAAAAATATTACTCCTGCTGTAGTTATTGATTCTGATGATGACACAAGCAGCACTGCCATTGAACCACTTCCTGTTTCTATTGGTAGAAAAGTTAAAAATAAAAAACCTCCCAACAAAAAGGTAGGATTGTGGTATGGTTATGATCCGTTTCTTGATTATTCTGATGATTTTGATAGCAACAGTGAGTTGCACCCCATAGCTGTTGAAAGAGTATCTCATGTTGTTGAATCTGGCAAGGTATAATGTTGTCCAATACAAAATTATGCATGACTTCATCACATGTTATGGTGCTTTTCATACTAATTTCACTGCTTTGTCACGATTTCAAGAGAGATTGTTTCCTTTCATATCTTTCATTTACACGTTTTTCACAAGTTTCTTCTTTAAAGTTTGCTGAAGTGACATGAATGCAAAATGTAAAGATAATTTTAAGAGACAAACAAACAATCGTCAAATGTTCCTAGCTTGTTTCCTATTATCTAAGCAGGAGAGCTGAAAATGGTGTTAACGTTAAGTTTAAAGAATGTAATTTTAATTCCTTTGATATGGACCATACAAAGGATTTAATCAGATATAAGGCATGGAAACTGTTATTCAAACATCACCCCAAACATGGCCTGTCTTTTCGATATTTGTTTCATTTTTTCATGTTTCTAAATTTTGCATATATACACCTACATGTAATTGAAATTTGTTGATATTTGTAATACGGCCTAAAGTGTTGACAACATTCATATTGTTAAGATTCCTATTAAATTCAATATTATATTTAAAGGGACAGGTGCAGGATTTCAGGGGGGGGGGGTGCGGGGGGGAGAGGGTGTTGATTTAATTCTTGAATGAATGCTAATAGTCTTTAGAAGTACCGTACTAGAAATGTACGAAATTCTATATGTATTTGCTGTATATCACAGAGCATCTAAAAATGACGAGTTGTCATTGTAACATTCAAACCTGAATGATTCTGGACACACATGGATTTGAAGGCTCAAAATTTGACTGTGAACTGTTTCACTGTTAGTGAGTGGTTTAGCAAATAAATATTCCTGTTTCTGAGACTAAAGCATGATTGGTAAAAAAATGGTGCACCTGTCACCCTTAAGATTAAAATATTTGGATTAATTATTCTTTCCTTCAACCATATTTTGGCTGCAAATTGTCCTCTAAAACTGGTATATGTCCATGATTGTGTTTATTTTTTATCATTGCCAAGTCATGTGAAGACCAGTAGGGCTGCAACGATTCTTGAAGTTGAGATTCAGTACACTAAACAAAACTCATCCAACGATATGATTTACTGCGATTATAATCGTGATTGATTTATTGGATAAGAAACGAGAAAATATAGTAGAAATTTGTTCAATTACTAAAATTACTAACAATTTTGTCACTATTAACATGTCAGAAAATATATAAATAAGGCATTGTGATTAAAAATCTCATTGTTTTAAAGTCAGAAATGAATTTTTGCAAATTTTGATGTGAAAGTCATACTTGAAAAATGAAAACAAGACAAAATTTCTTATACACACAAGGATTCTGTGTCATTTCATATTAAAGTTGGCTTAGAATTAATCGTGCCGATACATCACGATTATTTCTATCAGTTCATTGTTTCATCGATGAATCGTTTCAGACCTAAAGACCAGCAGTACTATTTTGAAACAGATAATCTTATTTCAATTTATTTCAATATCATTGGTAAAAACTTCATTCTCCTATGCATGTATGTAAAAGTATTTTAATGGGATTGCTATGAGTTAATGGACATGATATTCAATCTAGAGTTTCAGAGCTCAGTATTTACTATGTAAAATTAACACGGATGTTATTTCAGCCTGCCAGATCAAAGACAGCTGTCAAGAATCCTGCCACACCAGACGATAAAGAGTTGAAATTCCTGCGACAGATTTGTAGAAGTCTGGGTATTGTGTTAAGAAATACTAAAGAATTATTAGGATGTACCACTAGTGCTGAAAAGGTTACTCGTATTCGAGAACTACTGGAAAATGCAGGGATGGAAGGTAAGGAAGTGTGATCTTAAAATGGCCCTTCATTTTGGGTTTCACAAGCCTATTAACAGATGAAATTGTTGTGCGTCTCATGTTCTAGATCATTTGATATTCAACCAATCCAATGCTTTGTTCCATTAGATATCCTAGCAATATGAGTATTTCAGGGATATTCATTGCTTAAACTTAACAGTGGTTTCGTTTGGTACATGAGTTTGCCAACATTTGTGGCTATAGGGGTCCTAATTCCGCAGAACACAGACCACAAGTTAAAGAGGAATCAAAAAACCATCTATATCAGATTTGTGCTTAAATACAACCTCAACCTATACTAGTAACAAAATAATAATCATCATGTATGAACTATTGGATTTGTAGGTGAGCCTACTATGAAAAAAGTACAAGTCTTAAAGTTACAAAAAGAAGTAAATGAATTAAATGAACAGAATGAAAAATTAAATGATGAACGTGAGTATGATAAATAGATACTACATAGATTAAAAGACAAACATTGAAAATTTATATATGTATGTATTTTAGTGTAGTTTCCCTTGAAATCCTATTTTTTCTGTACCTGATTGGGCTAAGACTGGCAATGCAGTGAACAATGAGGGAAAAATTTGCTATGACGGCGTCATTAGTCTACTTTTTCTTCGATTTCTGTCAAGTTGCACAACAACCAATAAGACAGGGGACCTTGGTTTAATGTCCAATCCAAAAACTGATGCTTATTCCATGTCAGCCAAAGGAAACATGACTTCTGAATTCAACAATTTGACATCTGACACTAAAGATAATGGTACACATATTTGAAAAAATTCTTATGTTGACAAAGCTTTTGGTCTAAATGATTTTTATTTTTCCATTACAGCTACAAGAGGTAGACCTAAAAGACTGGCTCAAACTAAGCTAGCTGAACGTAAAAAGTCACCCTATGTACAAGATAGTTCTATGTTTGATGGTTTAGAAGAGATATTTGATGATGAAGGTTCAGACTGACATTACTTTACAGTAAGTTGTATTGCTATACTAATCCAGCTCTCTATCTTATCAAAGGTGATAGAGTTTTCAACATATATCCACTTGATCCAACCTAGCTAGACTGATATTTGGTGTTGATTCAATATTTACAAACGAACAAGAGAAGGGAAATAGGAATGGTTCAAATAGAAGCTATAAGTGGCCCAGATACATGATATGCTAGAAAACTTAGTTGTGTATACTTGAAAGGGTGGAATTTAACACTAAATAGTTACATGTATATGGACATTTATCCATGACCTGAAATGCAATTTATTGTGGTCTGCAAAAGTGATCATTATGCCCCTTTAATTGATATTATGGGCCTATTAAGAATATTATGAACCAAATTCAGATTTTATAAACAGTGTTGTTTCTAGGAATCATTAGATGTAGGGCCCACAGAGTTGTCAAGAGCGGCTTACAGTGCTAGGCTTATAAGAACTGAATGATACAAAAATTTAAACTGGAGAGCGGAGCCAAAATTATTTTTTGGGGGAAATACAAATGTTTATCAAACAAATTCAGAATAACCAAAGAATATAACATTAACCAAATTCAGATTACATTAACCAAATTCAGATTATATTGACCAAATTCAGATTATATTAATCAATTTCAGATAACATTATCCAAATTTAGATTAAACTGACCAATTTAACATTCAAATTTAGATAATGTTTACCGAATTCAGATAACATTAACAAAATTCAGAAAACATGAATTTACCCAAGTCAAATGACACCAACCAAAAATCAGATACAAATTTTATATGGTAGATGAAATAGGACATGACTAAGTAGTATTATATATAGTAAGATTTAATTACCCATTGCAATTTTTATATCATATTACATATCTATACATATACATAGAGCCCATTTTATCATAACATACTCTCATCACTTATATCATTTGAACATACCAGAGCAGAACATGAATAGGTTAAAACTCAGTATATCATGCTGTGTGATCTTTGAATAATAGACATAGTCCATCTCTAGAGTATCTTAAAACGAATAAAAACTTAGTTAAAGTAATGTATTGTAAAAAATATCATTTGCACAAACTTACAAATATATCAGGTGTTTCAAAGTTTAAAGGGTAGTATCTCAGCTGTTGGTAAACTGATCTCTTTTAAAATTCTCACAGATATACTTCAGGATGTCATTGTCCAACACTGAAATCATGAAGGTAATAGTAAAAATTGTACAAGTACTGTCCCAAACAAATAAAATGTCAAAAAATACAGTTTCAACCTGTGCCCTCCATCTCCTTTGCCCACCAATCACAAGATGCCAACAAGACAGGACCTCATCGCATACTAGCAAGGTATCCCATGCATATCTGGAGGAGGCTACACTAGAATTTATTTTTTGGGACACAATATATTAAACGGACATTTTTATAATTTTCATATTCTGAGTTATATTGTAATGGCCCATGGAAAAAATACACAGCAAAAACATTTTGATTGCAGCATATAAATAAAATCACTTCACTTAAATCTCAGAAATGGGAATTTTTTTTTACCTAAGCTAATCAGTAATAGTGTTCATAGCTCTCGGTATGCTCCTCACCCTCAAATCAATGTATGTACAGAATTATCTGCAGAATTTTTTATTTTCAATTTCAGATGTATGGTGTTCATAATGTATTACGGTTGTGATATGGGGTTCAAGTGCTTCCACCAGTTGCAAATGTCCTTAGAATGAAAGAGGCAAAATATTTAAGATGTTTTTGACATGAATTTATTGTTAATGATTTTATTAATGTTTAAGTGCAATTCACAATGGTATTGCTCAATCAAAAACATAATCAATGTGTGATTTTATTAAGATGTTGCCAGTTTTAGGTATGGTTGCTTTGGTCTTCAGGTCAGAGGGGCTGACATGAAAAAAGTCAGTATATGATATGTGTAGTGGGAAATTGAAGCCTCGTATATTAAAGATTATCTAATGGTAGCTCTGATGGACACATAATAACGTGTTATTTTTTTGAGAGGCTAATGAGCAGCTGTTACTAAGTGATGTCATATAAATTTCCAATATACACTTTATGTCGTATTATTTGCAGTTTGGAATGTTTTATTTTATTCACATTTGGTGTCCAAAGGGTTAAAGACAGTTGGAAATCAAGTACATGCTCAAGTGGAAATTTTCCAAATGTAATTCAACATCTTCAAATAAAAGAGCCATCATATGGGGCAGCTAAGATTTCATATGATCTTTATTTTTAGATAAGCTAAAAAAATTTGATCCATTTGTCTATGTCAGTCGAAATTTAATTATTTTTTGTGAATGAAATAAGTTTCCGTAATAAAACACTTACCAGTGACTGGATGTCCCCTTTGATTTCTTTCATATGAAACTGCATATGATACTTAGACAGAATTAACACACACGAATGTAGTTTTGAATCACTTCTTAAGTCGAAGAAGAGATTCAAAATGATTGTGAACCACATTATTTCCATGTCAGAACCATACATAGCTTCGTATGTGTATCCCTTTTGAAGTATCCACATTGCCAATATTATGTATTTGGCATTCAACAGATCATACGGCCTTCCTTTTTTGAGAGTTCACATAACTGATGATGTTTATCTGTAACATTTATTAAGAGCAAAAAATCCTTCAATTGTTAGTCAAAATATATACCTAAAGTAATAAATTTCTTTGCTTCCAAATGAAACTTTTTGTCTTTCAAAGTGGTTACAAGCTGTTATGAGATTTGCCCATTTGTCAATTTTAAAATTTGAAAGTATATAATATATTTTTTTTACCAGAATGAAATGAGTTGAGACTTGCAAATTTCAGAATGAGATTTTATTAAGAAGTGAACTTAGAAGTTTATAGTTGTGTAATTGTTGTCTGGCATAGTATTTGATACAAGTTACCCATATCACTTTTCAAAATGAAAATCAGATGTCAGGCTTGTCTACCATTAATTAAATAACGTTTTGGCTTCCAATGAATGAGATTTTAATAAAAGAGAAAATCAGATGTCAGGTTTGTCTATGAAGAAAGTGTCTAAGTTATCTATGTTACAATTATTTGATTTAAAAAGTGATCTGGGTAACTACAATTTAATTAAAATACAAATATTGATTTGTTTTTATTTCGTTTTCTGATATTTTTATTCTCTATTGTAATCTTATAAAATGGATATGGGATATCAAAAAGTAGATCAATACGTCAGCTTCTTTAGGTTTCACTATCACACAATTCCTTATTCTATCAAGAAACAGGTTTTACATGACATGCTTTGATTGGTTAAAAATAACATCATTGGAACAGGCCCTTGGTAGAAAACTCTTTAGATTACAATGTAGACTAAAAAATATTAGAAAACAAAAAGAAGTTGTTATTTTATTTGGGGTAACTAATAATGAATTTAAGTTGATGTTTCAGTCATAAATAATAGGCCTATATCACTTTAATAAGTTATTGGATTGTATAAGATATAGATTTAATATTGAAAAATTAATCTCTCTTAAATTTTTTTCAATTTGGGGTCTTGAGACCTGTGTTTCACAAGGTGTTTCACTTTAACTGAATGTTTCTTCATTTTTAGAATCATAACAATATTTACATGTAGTAGCATCTTCTATGAAGATTGAAAAATGTTTGCAACAGGTAGTATTTTCAGGAATTACAGGAACCACAGACATTGGAAGACAGGAACCACAGACATTGGAAGAGGAACTCTGTGTCCAAATTTAAGAAAATAGGCCAGAAAGACATATTTATTTCTCATTCAGCTAGAAGGAAAGAATTCGGTATAATTTTGGAAATTGACCTCAGTGGGCACAGTTTTACTCAATGGTATGATAGAATGATTTATCGAGATTCAAAAACTTGAGAATGTATTCAATTAAATTTGATATAAAATAAGGTTTTATCAGTTGTAATATGTATTAATGATATTTGTAATATATAATGTATATATATATGATTAATGTCGAGGACAAGAAATATAAAATATAATGAAATGTTATCTTGTGTTATGAATATTACTAGCTAAAGCTGAATTTCAGACATCTGTGTCACTTTTTAGAATTAAAATCCCTGTTCACTATAAATACTTAAATCAATTCTAATAGCCCTGTTAACTGGAAATACTTAAATCAACTTTATTAGCCCTATTTACTATAAATACTTAAATCAATTCTAATAGCCCTTTTAACTGGAAATAATAAGATCAACTTGAATACCCCTCTTTACTACAAATACTTAAAACAACTTGAATACCTCTGTTTACTATATATACTTAAATCAACTCGAAAAACTCTGTTTATTATAACTACTTAAATCAACTTTAATACCTCTGTTAACTGGAAATAATAAGATCAACTTGAATACCCCTCTTTACTACAAATACTTAAAACAACTTGAATACCTCTGTTTACTATATATACTTAAATCAACTCGAAAAACTCTGTTTATTATAACTACTTAAATCAACTTTAATACCTCTGTTAACTGGAAATAATAAGATCAACTTGAATACCCCTCTTTACTACAAATACTTAAAACAACTTGAATACCTCTGTTTACTATATATACTTAAATCAACTCGAAAAACTCTGTTTATTATAACTACTTAAATCAACTTTAATACCTTTGTTAACTGGAAATAATAAGATCAACTTGAATACCCCTCTTTACTACAAATACTTAAAACAACTTTAATACCTCTGTTTACTATAAATACTTAAATCAACTCGAAAAACTCTGTTTATTATAAATACTTAAATCAACTTTAATAACTCTGTTTGCTAAAAATACCAAAATCAACGGGAATACCCCTGTTTACTAGAGATACCTAGATCAGAAATCAACTTGAATACCTCTGTTTACTACAAATACTCAACTTGAATACCTCTGTTTACTACAAATACTTAAATCAACTTGAATACCTCTGTTTACTACAAATACTCAACTTGAATACCTCTGTTTACTACAAATACTTAAATCA